GTTCTTTGATATACGACTTCACTGGAGTCTTTGGAGATGTATGTTATCGAGTGTGCAAATTAATTCGGTGCCTTTTTTTATTGTCGACTAAAATTCGCTGTATTTTTACAGAGTGGAAATTCGTTAGTTGCCCGATAAATGAAGAAAGTTTTTTACCAAATAATGGAGATTTTTTTGAATACTAAAATTGTGTTTGATTATTTGTAAATAAATTTTGAAGTTTGTGAAGAATGGCACCAAATTAATTTGTACACCTGATACATGTGTGATTTTGAAATTTTGTACTTTTGTGCTTATATTTTTTTATATGAAATTTGGGTAGAATTTTTTTTAACTAATTCAGAAAATTTGATACAGTTTCGATCGAACTTTCTAAGATTACTCAGATACGAATGAACGAATGATCATTTTGAAAAATAGTTTCACGTTCCTCTAAATTACCCCTAGTACGGTGCTCGGGTCTTTTTTGACCCATCGCCTTTTTATTTTTTAATAACTTCTGCTGTTATCAAGCTTACGGTCTCTTAACATTGTATTAAAAATTTGTTGTCTAGATTCGTATAGTGTGCTGGTAACAAAGTTGTTGGGTCTTTTTTGACCCAAAGCTTAAGTTTCACCGCAAAATCATCAGAATTAAAGCTCGTCTTCGTCGTCGACACACCGATACGACGAAATTTCTTTTATCTATCACACTACATACCTAATTCCCAATCGTTAACAATCCAAACTAAACGTCCAATAAAATGTATATCGCTAAAACTACGAAACCAATATTAATCGAATTAATTAAAACGAACCGTCCAATCTTTACCGAGCTCAAGCCAGATTTTCTGCCCCGTATGGTATATCGATACCAGGAATTTCATCGTATTTACTACCTTATCTAGTCTCCCACGATAACCGATTTAATTATCGTTATCCATAACCCCTTCGATTCTTCGAAGCTCAGCATCGTCGGCGATGCTCCTTCAAAACAGCTTTAATTGCAGCTCGATAAGAGCCGCTAAAGCGAAAGATTGCACGGAGGAAAAATAGCGACGACGAAGTAGAAACGCGAAAAAAAAGAAAAATTCCACCGTTTTCGTCGTACAAAGTCGCATCTGTTTATTAAATTTTGCGAACGAGCCTCTCTCTCTCTCTCGTCACGGACTAGAATCGCGACTATTACATTTCGTTCGGTAAAAATGAGCCGCGGTTCGGCCAAATTTCTCGTTACGATTTTTACAATTTCGACGTTCCACGGCTGCAGAGAGGGTAGAGGGGACAGAGACGCGTGGAAATCAAATGAGAGGAGGACGACAAAGAACAAAAATATACATGTAGTTGCGCACAGTTTATAAACGATGTTTAATTTTGCAATTTTGTCCCCATTTCGCTGTTTTGTTTCACATTTTGTCTCTCTCTCTCTCTTTTTTTTTCAATTCTCGTTTACAACCATGGGAGCAACCTACATTTAAAACTTGATTGAAAAATCTTGCGCCCTTGCATGTATGTGTTTTTTGTTTTTGTAGCTGTGTTTGTGTGTATGCAACACATACATGTAATACAGACACATATCATATACAGTGACTCTTACTAATATTCGGACACTCTTTAGAACAGTATAACTTTTTCTAAATTGGATCAAACGACTTGAGTTTTTTCGAGAAGTTAGGATTAGTATACCAGATGACGTGTATAAAATTTTTTAAAAATACTGCAATTTGTGGGAATCGCGAAAAAAATTGTAAAGGTCACTGTTTACAACTTTCTTACCCGAGCTTGTAACGAAAATTTAAAATATACGTTTTGTAGATTTACGTCAATTATACGCATGCTGAAAATTTCATCGAAATCGGTAGATGGAGAAACAAGCGACAGGCATCGAGAGATGTAGGAATCTTCAGATTTATTACAATTATAGGCCGAACGTCGTGAAATAGTGCGATTTTCACAATCTTTAACGATTCGTAGCTCGTAGTAACATTAACCGATTTCGATCAAATTTTCAGCATGCGTATCATTGGCATAAATCTACAAAACGTATTTTTTAAATTTTCATTACCGGCTCAGGTAAAAAAGTTGTCGAATGTGACCTTTACAATTTTTATACGCGTCATCTAGTATACTAATCCTAACTTCTCAAAAAAACTCAAGTCGTTAAGTCCAATTTAAAAAAAGTTATACTGTTCTAAAGAGTGTCCGAATATTAGCAAGAGTCACCGTACCTTTCTTAATTTCTTTTTCTTTTTCCTTATAATTTATATGCACATACAACGTGTACCGAGGTAGAAACCAAGTAAATAGGTACTCATACAAAACGTAGATTAGTATTTTTCTTTCTCAGTTTTTTTTTTTTTATTCCCCTTCATTAGTCTCGCTCGTTTTTAATAAACGCACATTACAGGACTTTCGATGTATACATACATATACATACAGGACATATGCACGTGGTCTCTTCTAAACATACAAATATATCATACACACATACGTTTTACATACTTGCGCAGAGATACGACATCCGGAGGATCGCTCTTTTTCACTCCTTCTGCCACTCCACAAAGTTGCAAGTTAATACTCCATTACGAGACTCTTCCTTTCCTTCATCGCTTATCTTCATTGCATTTCTCTTTTCTTTTCGTCGCTTATCTTCATTGCATTTCTCTTTTATTTTCTCTCCTTCGTTAAGCGTCAGTACAATTCACCTCTCGTTATTTATTGACTAGCGGTAATAATAATTGACCAATAAATACCAAGATGAAAATTACGAGATTAGTATGTGTGCACAGGGGGATGGATATGGGAGGGCAGAGTTTGTTTCACAGGCCAAACCATCGACGACGTACTATTATGCTCTATATATCATAAATCCATTTTTTCTTAATAAATTATCTTACAGTTATAATTCACCGGGAGGCGATACGTTGGAAATAAGGAAAAGCAAAAAAGAAAAAAAAAAGAAAAAGAAACAAGGGAGAAAAGGGTATCGGAAACACAAAGGGGAGTACAGTCAGAAACAGATATATTAATCAATGGAAATTGAACTAAATTCCCCGGCAAGAGCGCATATGCAAAGATACGTTATATAGATGTATAAAGAGAATAAAAGAATAAACAAAATCTTTGTAAA